GCACACGAGGGGGTGGGTGGCCAGCACCACACCCGGCCGCCTTTGTCTCCCCAGTGGCGATGTTTACAAACCGCACCAAGTGCTCATGTTTAAAGCCGAGTCGACCTAGCGGATGCCCAAGACCGGTTCAGATAATCGTCACCGGTGTTGGCCGTGAGCGGGAATCGAACTGGGGGTCGGCAGGTTCGGAGCGCAGCGCGCTAGCCGCTACACCACCCGCTCCACCACCCCAGCGTCTCCAGAACGTATCCCTCGCGAATACCGAGGGAATAACTTGTGCCAAACACACGTGCATTGACACGCGTAAACCAACCACGCACACCCACGTGCTGGCTGCAACACACATCCGTATTATTTTTGTACACGTGGCCAGAATCGAGGACACGTGCTCAGCCACGTGCCATTTTCACTGGGGGAAAGAATCGCTTTCAACAACTAAAGATCGTTTCAATTATTGTATTAGTGTGTTGAACATCTTTTGCAGCGAACGTGGCCAACCGTGCTACGTACGGTGCGTGTGTGTTTGTGTCTGTCGTTAAAACAAAAACACCGTAGGCCAGTGTCAATCCACTGCTGGATGAAGGCCTAGCCCAACGCACCCCATACCTCACCACCCATACTTCACCACCCCATACCTCACCACCCATACCTCACCACCATACCTCACCACCACATACCTCACCACCACCATACCTCACCACCACCATACCTCACCACCCATACCTCACCACCCATACCTCACCACCACCATACCTCACCACCACCATACCTCACCACCACCATACCTCACCACCCATACCTCACCACCCATACCTCACCACCCATACCTCACCACCACCATACCTCACCACCACCATACTTCACCACCACCATACCTCACCACCCATACCTCACCACCACCATACCTCACCACCACCATACCTCACCACCACCATACCTCACCACCACCATACCTCACCACCCATACCTCACCACCCATACATCACCACCACCATACCTCACCACCACCATACATCACCACCCATACCTCACCACCACCATACCTCACCACCACATACCTCACCACCACATACCTCACCACCACCATACCTCACCACCACCATACCTCACCACCACCATACCTCACCACCACATACCTCACCACCACCATACCTCACCACCACCATACCTCACCACCACCATACCTCACCACCCATACCTCACCACGCTGGTCAGAGCAGGCTGATTGAAGAGGGCAAATGTGCCCAAGATCGGCTCAGTGCGCTCACCGCTGCGCCACCGCTCGCTCCGACTAAACGGTTTGCCCCCCCCCCCAGACACACACCTGCATGCCATTGGGTTTAATTACCGCATGTCGAGGCATGTGCGTATGGAAAACTGTAATTAAATACACAATTCATTTTGAATGGCAATCACACGAAATCAAAATGTTACAGCTGACATGAAATGTATCCGCGTCGCTTTAAAAAAAAACACAACCCTTTGCCGAGATCAATTCGTGACTGTGCTATGAACCCACCTCCCCTCCTCCCCCCAGCCAAGCCGAGTTCGACTCCCGACCGTGATATCCGAACCGGTCCCGGGCACCTCTCCCCCTTCCCCAGATGTACCAACTCAGCATTCACCAAACGTCGTTGAAGTACGGTTCAAAAGAAGAAAAATAATAACCACCACAGTGTGGAGTGGTCGTTATCTAGCAGTGGATTATAACAAAGGGTTGCACATTGATAGCTTGAGTGAGTTGTGATATGCAGGTGTGTGAGCAGCTACAATATGGGACATTTCTTTGCCAGTATCAAAATATCAGAATAGTTTTTAGCCTTTCTGGCAAATTAAACAGCTGTGTTAAGATGTTAAAACGCCAAACAGAAACATTTTTGCAAGGAATCCTGTCTGCATTAACCACACGTAGTTGTGGTGATCATGCAGATCAACAATAACATGCTCTGATAATATGATGCATTGTCTTTGAAACAGATTGGTCCACACCATATTCTTTGGGTCTTTCGGTATAGTCACATAGATAGGTTAAACAAAATATTAAATAAACAACAAAAACTACGACGTTTCGATCGCAACAAAAGCGACTGTCATCTGGTGTTTATTTCATTATTTTTTGAACCTATCCACGTGACTTTACCGAAAGACCCAAAGAATATGAATTCCTGCAGTCACGAAAGCCTTAAGCCAACATTTGGTCTACACCAGTTTCTAAGACAATGCATCACATTATCAGAGAAATGTTTTTTTGCTGTTACTTATTGCCAATTATGGACTCAGACTATTGTCCTATCATCTCATAGAGTCCCTGGAACGTAATAATATGCTACACAGTGGCAGTGAGGGTCGCAAAATGTCGATTTATTACTAATAAACCCCAATGATCCGATCGAAATTAGGGATTTCGATCGGATCATTGGGGGGGGGGGGGGGGGCACGTGCCACCCCCCCCCCACTGGCTCCGGCAGTGGTCACTTTGCACTATCAACCTGGCGACCTGCGTTTGATCCCTGGCTAATGTCAGTGGGTGAGGACTACCCGAGCGGGTCCGCAGTGAAGTATGCTCAAGCAATGCCCAATGATCGACAAGCGATGCGGGGGCGGGGTGAGAAAGCCTTCATCCAGCAGTGAGTGGGTTGACGTTGGAGGAGCTGAGGCCGCTGCCCCGATAGCCGCAGCGGGCACACGCAGCGCGGCCAGCAGAGGGCGCTGGATGTCAACATTCTCAACCGCGCGGTGCCTTGAAAGCCTAGTGGCGAGTCGGTTAGGACGGACCGTCCCCCGTCACGGGAACGTGTAATTCCCACCGGCACACGCTGCCGGTAGAACAGTGCGCCAATTGAGCGGGGAGATCGTTTAGCTTTCCATTTTGTTATTTTGCACTGAACTCGGATGTTGTATATGCGTACAAGAACTTTTGTTACCACATGAGAGGGTCGGTTGAGAGAGAAGTCTCCTTTTGCAATGGGAGACCTGGAATAACAAAGGATGTACGAAAAAGAAACCAGAAAATCTACGAAGCAAAAAAACGAAAATAAATATGGATTCAACGCGCAGCAAAACGTGGCTATGCAATAGATTAGGGCAATTGGCACGGCGATTGTAGTCTGTGCGAGTCCGCGGGTCTTAATGCGAGTCGATGACTTGTACTTTCGTGGGGCTCGTTGTGTGGTTCTCTGTGTGAGTCTGGGTGTCTATGAGTCTCTGGGTCTTCATGCTGGTCTATGACTACATTAGTGTGTGGGTTCTCGTCGTAGGGGGTCTCACTGTTCGTCTGTGGTTCTCTTGTGCGAGCCTGCGTATATCTGTGATTTCGTGTCTCTCCGCGGGAGTCTCTCGTGGGTCTGTGTTACGGTTCTCTGTGTGAGTCTGGGTGTCTCTGTGATTCCGTGTCTCTTCGCGGGAGTCTCTCGTGGGTCTGTGTTACGGTTCTCTGTGTGAGTCTGGGTGTCTCTGTGATTCCGTGTCTCTCTGCGGGAGTCTCTCGTGGGTCTGTGTTACGGTTCTCTGTGTGAGTCTGGGTGTCTCTGTGATTCCGTGTCTCTCTGCGGGAGTCTCTCGTGGGTCTGCGTGACGGTTCTCTGTGCGAGTCTGGGTGTCTCTGTGATTCCGTGTCTTTGCGGGAGTCTCTCGTGGGTCTGTGTTACGGTTCTCTGTGTGAGTCTGGGTGTCTCTGTGATTCCGTGTCTCTCTGCGGGAGTCTCTCGTGGGTCTGCGTTACGGTTCTCTGTGAGATTCTGGGTGTCTCTGTGATTCCGTGTCTCTCCGCGGGAGTCTCTCGTGGGTCTGTGTTACGGTTCTGTGCGATTCTGGGTGTCTCTGTGATTCCGTGTCTCTCTGCGGGAGTCTCTCGTGGGTCTGCGTGACGGTTCTCTATGCGATTCTGGGTGTCTCTGTGGTTCCGTGTCTCACTGCGGGAGTCTCTCGTGGGTCTGTGTTACGGTTCTCTGTGTGAGTCAGGGTATCTCTGTGATTCCGTGTCTCTCTGCGAGAGTCTCTCGTGGGTCTGCGTGACGGTTCTCTGTGCAATTCTGCTTGGTCATAGGTCATAGGTCGGCAACCTGCGCCTCCATAGCCGCATGCGGCGGCTCTTTGGCCCCTCTCCCCCCCCCCCCCCCCCCCCTTGCAGGGAGCCGTTTAAAAACAAATTTTAAATCTCAAAAATAATTTAACATAAAGACAATTGATTAAATATGGCAGGGAATGGGGGTCACTAGGGAATGTCTTGGTGACAACAAAATGTACAACAGTCAAACTGCACTGTTAAAGAATAAGGGGTGGGGAAATAACTGAATAGACGCAGTTCATTCCATCACGTGTTTTTGTTTATTTAAGTCAGAATGTGTGTTATAATCTGCTGTGTATACCTGCTGAAGTGTTTGTTTACAAGTAGCTCTCCACGTGTGATGCAGCTCTCCAACTACCGGTAATTTTAGCCAAGGCCCAAAAAAAAATGTCTGTTCTCAAAATATGAATGTGTGTTCACACTTGTGGAACCGGATGAGCGACAAAGCTCCTCTTCAACAGATGGCCAGGAACTTTTCACAGACCGCCGTTCCAGATCGACGGTTTGACAAAGCGGCGTTCGACCTCGGTTTCATAGTTTCATTTATTTGGTATAGCCCTGTGAGCCATTCGGCTCTTGAATCGGGTGCAACCGCAACAAACAAAAAACATGAACAAGAAAAACATCTTAAAGTGACTTTGTGTTTACTGTGCAAACAGAAAATCCATGAAAAAAACAGCAAAATATTCCGGAAAAAAGCACCGTACACCAACGCTGTGTGCAAAAAATCCCAGTGGGATGCAAAGTCAAACAACAACAACAACCACAAGACAACTTAGATTAAGGCCATCAGTCTAACTCCGCACTACAATAAACAAAAACATGGCCAAACCAAAAAACGTTTTCGAAATCACCAAAGTAAAGCCATAAAAGCAACGTAACAGTGATCAGGGGGACTGTGTCTCACGGGGCCACCTTCGTCCGTGCCACGCAGGAGCAGGGGAGGGTGGCGGCGGCGCCGCCGCGCCGAGCCAAGCGGAGCGCGAGCGGCTGGCGGCCTCCGTGTTGGAGTCGCTGCGCGGAGTGGCGCGCTCGCGTCACGCTCTCAAGCGCTTCTCCAACATCTACGACCCCGGGGAGGGGGCACACCAGGTGGGTGCTCCTGGAGTGGTGGGGCGGAGACGTGAACGCCGCCTCCACCACCACCACCTCCACCACCCCCGCCACCACCACCCCCACCACCACCCCCACCACCACCACCACCCCCACCACCACCCCCGCCGCCTCCACCACCGCCGCCTCCACCACCACCACCACCTACACCACCTCCACCACCACCACCACCACCCCCACCACCACCACCTCCACCACCACCCCCGCCGCCTCCACCACCTCCACCACCACCGCCTCCACCACCACCCCCGCCTCCACCACCACCACCTCCACCACCACCACCATCCCCACCACCACCACCCCCGCCGCCTCTACCACCACCACCCCCACCACCTCCACCACCCCCGCCGCCACCACCTCCACCCCCACCACCACCTCCACCACCACCTCCACCACCACCACCACCTCCACCACCTCCACCACCCCCACCACCACCTCCACCACCTCCACCACCACCCCCGCCGCCTCCACCACCACCACCCCACCATCTCCACCACCACCCCCGCCACCACCACCTCCACCACCACCACCACCACCACCTCCACCACCCCCACCACCTCCACCACCACCTCCACCACCCCCACCACCTCCGCAACCCCCATCACCCCCACCACCTCCACCACCCCCACCACCACCACCACCCCACCACCACCACCACCACCACCTCCACCACCACCTACACCATCCCCACCCCCACCACCACCACCCCCACCACCACCACCACCCCCACCACCACCACCACCCCACCACCACCCCCACCACCACCTCCACCACCACCTACACCATCCCCACCCCCACCACCACCACCCCCACCAACCCGCACCACCCCACTTGGCAGGTTCACCGTTTGCACCATGGCAGCAGCAGCAGCGATGCGGTGTAGCATCGTGGCAGTGAGATGTTAACTACCTCGCCTGCTATGCAGGAGTGTGTGGGTTCGATCCCGACCCAGGCACCTCTTGTTTGTGTGGAGTTTTGATACTGACACTCCTGCTGTTATGGAGTGACTCATGCAACCAGCTATGGCTGCAAAGTTTGGTCGTACATGTTTATGTATATCGTTTATTGTAAAATTTTAATCACAGTTCCTATGATCACTGTTGCATTGTTTTTATAGCTTTATTTTGGTGATTTTGAAAACGTTTTGGTTTGGCCATGTTTGTTTGTTGTAATACAGAGTTAGCCTGATAACTTTAATCTACATTGTCTTATGGTTGTTATTGTTTGACTTGCATCCCACTGGGATTTTTGCACACAGCGTTGAAATACGGTGTCTTTTTTTCTGGAAGACTTTGCTGTTTTTTCCTGGATTTTTCTGTTGCGCGCAGTCACTTTAAGACGTTTACTTGTTCATGTTTTTGTTTTGTTGCGGCTGCACCCGAGTCGAGAGCCGCATGGCTCACAGGGTTACACCAAATACATGAAACTGAAACCCGGCCTGGACCTACCCCAGGGCGACTCAGCCTCAAATGAGTACCTATTGAGGCATCTAAACATCGGCGCCGGGGGAGACAAAGGCGGTGGGGCACACCTGCCGGCCCCACCACACCCTCGTGCGGCCATTGCGGCCTCAACAGCTGCTCACCAAGGGCGCTTGTCACGCGTTCAGTGCGGCTCTAATGCGTCGGCGCACGTGCCTTGGTCTCCGTGTGCTCGTACAGCCAGCGGTGTACCGGCCTCTGCTGAAGCAGATCCTGGATGAGATCTTCACGGCTGAGCAGCCCGACAGCTCCGACATTGAGCACATGGCCAGTGGACTGACGGACCTACTCAAGACCGGCATCAGCATGTTCATGAAGGTGTGCGAGCGCGTTGGTGGGGCGCCTATCGTGAGCCCGTCACCGGGCCTAGAGTCGTCGTCATCATCATTCTCGCCATCGAACAATGACGGTTACCGCATCGCGCGCTTTCAGGTGCGCTTCTGCGGCCGTCTGGAACGCTCTTCCTTCCGTTGTTAGGAAGCCACTGGAGCGATGCGCTTTTGAATCGCCAAGACTGAAAGCGAATTTCTTTAGAACTGCTTTGTGTTTAGCTTAAACTAGATTCGAAGCTTTCGTGACTGCAGGAATTACTCTTTGGTCCCTTCGGTCAAGTCACGTAGAAAGAAAATATTTAATTTATTTTCCGTGTTTAGTTTGTTGTCCTTCCGCCGCACGTTCGTTTAGCGCGGTTGGCTACGTACGGTGCAAGAGAACAGCTGCTGCCAAATAAGGGCAGCATTCGAGCAAGCGGTTCGTGTGTTACATTGCGCGTGTCGCGTGCGTGTTCGTGTGTCGCGTGCCTGATGCGTGTTTGCGTGTCGCGCCGTGTGTGGTTCCTTGGCGTGCCCCCGTGCAGGTGAGCCGTCCCAGGCCGGCCGACCACCCGCTCGTCGTCGTCTTCGTCGTGGGGGGAGTGACGCCAGCCGAGATCAAGCTCGTCCGCGACTCTGTGACGGCGATGAAGGTCACACAGCAGGTACGGGGTGGGTGGGGGGTTACTCCGAGTGGTTGTTTCGTTTGTAGAACTTATTTCGCACCGTACGTCGCCAACCCGTGCTAATGGCAGGTGCGGGGGAAGGTCACCGCCACCACACCACCACTCCCACCACTCCCACCACCAATGTGCGTCTCTGCCGGTGCGGCTGCTCGGGGCTGGGGTAACCTTCCTGGCTTATTCGGGTTAAAAGTTTGTGTTGTTTCACATCCATCCACTACGCCGCCTCGAATTCCTCTACCTCCTCGTTGTCTTGGCAGGTGCTGCTGATGTCCACGCGGCTGTTGCAGCCCAGCGATGTTCCCGTGCTCTTATTTTCAAAGGACCGACTCAGTCCGACCGTTTAATGCGTCATGGGACGTGGTGCCTCCTCTTCCGTTCCGTCATTTTGCTGCCGTAACCTTTTGAGTCCCGACCATTGGCTTTAATCCTTTCAAGCGACATGTCCTGCCATAGTCCACTTTTATCAGCCCCTTTTTCTTCCGGTTCCGTTCTGATGACGCACGCTAAAATAACCTTATCGGTACCGACGCTCCCGCAAGGCCACGCGGGAGGGCGTGGCACGGATTTGGCGCCAGCGATCAGTGTGGTCGTGTCGCTACACTTCTCTATTGTGAGCGCAATGTCTTTAAAAACAGCGGCGCTGCTACGCCTCTCTAAATAATACAACTCTGAACCATTTGCGCGTTCCGAGATTCAGCGGTGAACGGGACACCCACCCTGCGACTTGCAGACGATACTGTGATTGCGATGGCTTAGGGAGCCCTTAGTCCAGCAGCAGACTGATCTTGGCTGATGATCATTCCCGCATACATTGGACAGACGGCTTTGCGAGTTGATATACCAAAGCGCGATCGAGCCTTCTCATCTTGACGTCATAATTTTGCACCAATTAATGGACTGCATTTGTATAGAATATGCAGGATACTGGGTAATCTTATACAACTGCATGTGGTCTTATACAAGACCACATGCAGTTGAAAGTGCCTCCGTGCCCAAACCAGCCATTGGTTATTGAGAAATCGCATTTCTACGATAGATCAACCTATAGAATAATAGATCTATCAAATCGATTGTAGGACTTGGAGCTCACATGGTATGCAGCCACAGCGCCAGGTACACATTGAGGTGCAGTCGATGATACGAGACATCCAAATGGATCAAGATTCTTAATTCAAAGTTACTTTATAAAGGGAAGGAAAAGTCGACTGATGTGCAATGAGTTTTACCAACTCTGCCCAAACACTGCACTATTTCCAAATGGGGAAATAGATGTTAAGTTCAAAAGGTGGAAAAGTAGTTGAGTGCATTGGACGAACACTAAACAATTCACTTGTAACGAGTGCAAGTTTGTGGGCGGTATCACCTGAGGTGGCCACAAGTGAGTCCATATTCATCAGTTGAAGCAATTGGCGGGACCCCGGGGTCCCATCACTGCCCCGGGGTGGGAAAAACCGCGTAGCGACACGAGTCTTGCCTTACCGACAACACAACTAGCGGTCAATCGATTGGCCTCGTCGAGAGCTACTCGGGGCACTAAGTTTGGTAAAAAGTTGAAAAATTACATAAACACGTTAAATTCACTGCGGGCTCGCCTTGGCAAAGAAGCTGAGGATCGACGACTGACCGGAGGGCCTCGTCGTTGCCGCGCGCGACTGCGGCGGACGCCCCCCCGGGGGCTCGCGTTTGGCCGGTGGGGGTGGCACCCATCGTGTCGATCGCCGCCTACTGCTGGCGCGAGTCTGGGTGAGCGGCGCGTTGCTGTCAGGATCCACGAGTGGGGCGGACTGAAAAATAATAATTATTGACCTGATTTTTGCGGGACCCCTGGGTCTGGCAAAATGATTCAGTTGTCAATAACCGTGAAATATGATCAACCATTTGTAATGATTATCAATAAACTTAAACAAATAAACTGGTACTAGTTTTTTTTCTCTCTTCACTCGAGGTGGTTCCTGCTTCTGCTCTGGCTCGTGGGGGAGGGCGCGATATGTTCATGAATGGGTCACTGGACATGCTCAGTGTGCAATTACAAAAACGTAATTCTAGCCGCGCAAAGCTTTAATCTTTGCATCACAAGTGCAGAGTTGGTGTAATGGGCAGAGTTGTGCAGCGACTGTAGTTGCAACTCGTTGAAAATCTGGGCACTTTAATGGATAACAAAGTTGAACATGCAACTGGGTTGTGTGCAGGGAAAGACTTGCACAACTTTTTCTGAAAAACGGGAGGGAAAAAAAACCCCATGGGTAAGATGGTGCACAGTGAATGTGAACGCGAAGCTTTGCCGTGTGACCTTGTAAACTGCAACATTGTCAATGGAAATAAATTCTGGTTTACAATTTAATGAACCGTTTGAACTATTAGCATGCACTACAGGTAATTACCACAATGTGGACAGCTTTGAGTCAAGCCGTTCAATCTCCTATGGGATTAACAGCTTCCCCGAGTGAACCGCTTTCACGTGTAGACATTTTCCAAGTTAAACCGAATAAACGTGCTATGTTTAGCCATGGCCACAGACCGTGACAATCATTACACGTCTAAACTAGAGGCTTCCCTTCTTACGAGGATGAACTGGATGTGCATCCCCCATCGTGCTGACCGCCCAACACATTAAAGGAAAGTAGGTTTTGATCTGGAACTTTAAAGCTGCACATCTTGACAACTTTCTTCCAAAATGTACATTTTAACCAAACCACACGCATCTAGCACGAGGGCTGGACACACGCACGCAAACACCCACACGCACGCAAACACCCACACACACGCAACCACCCACACACACGCAACCACCCACGCACGCAAACACCCGCACACGCAAACACCCGCACACACGCACGCAAACACCCGCACACACGCACGCAAACACCCACACACACGCGGCGCCGACAAAACCAGGACACTCATTCGGGGCGCGGTACGGTTCGACGATTCTTTATTGACAGAGTGAACGGGCAAAGAGAGAGAGAGCGGGCGGGGATGTAGTCTTCTCTCCCCTCCCCTTTACGCCATGAACTCGTAGGGAATGGGCTCCAGCAGCTCGGGGGTGTTGTTCTTGGTGCTGACGAAGTGAGCCACACGAGGCTGCGCTGGCTGCAGACGGTGGGGGGGGGGGGGGGGGGTGTGGGGGTCACGTACAGAAATAACACGCCAAGGCAGTCAGGCACACGTCGTTCCAATATAAACTTTGATATTTTTAATTATAAGAGAGGTTTTTTTTTTACGTCAACCGCCAATTAACATTGTAGCGTTACGTTCATGTCAAAATAAGCAGTATCCGTCTTGAACTCGCAGCGAGCAGCGTGACGCCACATTGTTCAAGACATCCACTTGACTCAACACGTCGACAGCGCTGTGCTCATTAATCTCTTGGAATAGGGGCACAGCAAACCACCAGGTGCGTATAAATTTCGATTTAAAGCTTTCGTGACTGCAATGATTCATCTTCTTTGGTTCTTTCGGTAAAGTCACGTAGAATGAGAATAAAATAATAAATTGATAAAATAAAATAACACAATAATATTCTCACGACGTTTCGGCCACAGCACAAGCGGCCTTCATCAGGTGAAGGGGCGAGACTGTCTGGTAGGACAGCGTGACTTTACCAAAAGAACCAAAGAACACCAGGTGCGTGTTTGAACTTTCAACTTTAGAGTCTAACCACGCATCACCACCACCAGGCGCAGGGTGCACACACGCACACACAATACAAACATGCAATATATCACACGTACAATAACAATTTCGTATTGCATATCGCGACTAAAATGTGACTGCATCTCAAGATGCTATACAGAAGACCGGTGGCCATATTTATCCTTTAGAGCCAAAGTCAACGGTAGAGGAGGAGGGGGGGGGGAGCCCATAAGCAGACTGCTGGATGGAAGCAAGTTCCTAACTCTGGCGGGTAGCAGGTTGATGCAAGTCAAGCTTGAATGCATCGATTAAGTAAGTCAATGAAGCTCAACTTACTGCAGCCACCTGAAGACGATTGCCTGTGTTGCGATCGGAACGTCGCGATCTATTATATTTTTCTCTCTACGTCACTTCACCGAAAGACCCACAGAGTACTGCAGCCATTTGAAACCAGCCACCTGGGATGCAAACAATCAATCGGGTCTGGCCAACCGTGTTGGCTTGGGCACATCGAGCGTCCGATGCTTCGTTGACGCTTCAAAAGCTGGCAATGTGGTTGGCCGGCGAGTTTTGTTCTTGCTGCGTGTGAAGCGAAGCGACTCAACGTGGCTGAACGATCTTTGCCACGCTAATGGGGCCACAAATCTGTAGTCGGCTGCACGCGGGAAATAACTTCGTGGTTTCTCTCCCCCCCCCCCCCCCCCAAACGTGTCAAGAAAGCCACGCAGAGCTGCAACGGGTCGCCGGTGTTTCCTTAGACAGGATCCAGAGTCGGGCAGTTAGAACCCTTCGACTCTAGGTTTTATAAGGAGTCTTTCTTTACCCCCCGTTTGATAAACCACTTTAGATATGAAATAAATCTAAAATGGAAACGTGAAAGGGGGTTTAAAATGCAGATGCATTCCAAATGCACAACAGTGGCAACACTTGCCTTGAATGCGCCACCAGTGCACACATGTAAACTATTCAGAAGAACGTATTTTAAAAAATAATTTGTAAATCCATCTTTGCTACTGCTGCACCTATCACAACGTTCATATCTTGCATGCACTTGCACTGCCAATTTGGTAGCTTGCTTGACAGCTCAAGATCGACACCAAGATTAGTGTTACGCTGCACGCACACTTAACACACGCGCTCCAATATAGGAACGATTAAAAATGGTTTTCTTCAAGGTTCTTAGTTTTTGCTTCTCCCCACCTCCTCGCCATCATAACGTAAGTTCACCCAGAATTGCATTAAAACATCCGCATTTAGAGGTCTTGCAAAAGCAGAGGACCCGGCCCACGGTGAGATGCCTTCCCATCGTTACGTACCCCACACCACGTGGTGCATCTCCTCATCCACCCCGATATTGATGTAGTCATTTGCCTTTAAATACAACTGAACTTGGTTTGGCCACATTAAATGAAACATTTGTTTACTTAATGTGCAGTCACTGGTGACCTGACTTGAGACCACCCAGTCGCTACACTTGAGAACCAAAAGCTTTGTAACAGATGGCTGCCTGGGATTGAACCCAGGTTCCTCGGTAGAGCCTGCTCAATGATTCGAGAACTATATTAGCCCCACGTGTCACCAGGCCACTTCCACAATGTGCGTTGTTTTTTGTTTTACGATGTCGGTCGCAATCAGGGCAACACCAAAATATTATTTTTCCCCATTGTAGAACTGTCAACTTTTCCTCCATGCAAAAGCACAAGCGTTACAAAGCTCCGGACGTCTTCCTTATCCGCACTTGCCCACGAACAGATTCCCCGCCTCCTAGATTTGAAGTTTTCGTGACTGCAAGGATCTTTGGTTCTTTCGGTAAAGTCACGTAGGTGAAAAATAACAATGAAAGTAATACAATTTAAATAACTAAATTAATTCACGATGCTTCGGGCACAACACAAGCGTCCGTCATCAGGTGGGAAAGCGTGGTCTTGCTGCTGACGCAGACTGTTTTTAAAACAACCACATTAAAACAGTCTGCATCAGCAGCAGACCACGCTTTCCCACCTGATGACGGACGCTTTGTGTTGCGCCCGAAACGTCGTTATATAATTAATTAAAATTTTATTATTTTAATTTTTCATCTACGTGACTTTACCCAAAGAACCAACGAGTATTCCCCCGCCCCCCCCCCCCCCCCTCCGACCGGGTGCCGTGTTGGGAGCCAACTCAACGGAGCCTCCCCCTCCCAAGTTAAACCGATCACTAGTACAGTAGAAACTAGAATTGCAGTCGTGAGCAGCAAAGTTCGCTACGTGCCACAACAGCGATTCAAACGCGCTGTTAACACAGCCACCGACGTGTGTTGATTCATGCGCGTTTTAACGTTCATCTTTTGGGAAGCGTCATTGTATGTCTCGGCTAAACCCGAAAACATCTGCAAAGGCAGGACAGGCCACGTCTCAATCTCACAAGGGGCACCTGACATCGACTGCTGGTGTCTGCAATAAAACTCGCAGACTAAACGAATGGCTGGGCCAACTGCGAGCAGAGCGTTCGACTCTCAATTTTAAGGCTGCGGGGGAGCTAAAATTCTGATCGGGTGTTGTCAATTAATCCCTTTTTCCCCTCTGTTGGGATAAATTAAATACCACTTTTTGAAAAGTCAACTGTGGCTTGCCCTGTGGAGAGACTCATCACTGCCATATGAAAATTAAATTTCCTCCACCGTCGCAGGACCACCAACGAAGATAAACACCGCCGCCAAAGATTTGTTTGAGTTTGCGCTGCCTTTTTTATGCATGGTCGGTCAATAATTCATGCAAACCAAACTTAAGTCCCTTAAAATATGCACGGCTCAGCCGAAAGCTAGGCACACACTGCACTGAACCTCAAACACCAAAATAGTGGATTAAATTATAACGCAATTGAGGCAGTTCACGTGATCTCCCTTCAAGCCTGCCATAATGGGCTTCTGCAAACAGCCGACATCTACGGGGAAGCATTAAAGTCTTAAACGCATCACACCACTTTTTCCCATGACTCCTTTGGCAAATAGGAACTTCCATTTATTTTAAAAGTCGTTTAGATGCTATTATTAACCTTCTACTGTCATTATCCCAGGCGGGTTAAAAATGGACAAACTATAATGTAATTGGCGTTGTTTGTATATTTTGTTTTACTGTATGTTAAATAAAAAAAAGTTCCAATGTGCACGCTTTTTAATACCCGGCAAAAACAAGCCACTTCCTGCCAACTTTTTGACACCAAGGCCCCACCGGTGCAGATTTTTATAAATTCAGCGGCCGCGCCGTGACACCAACCAGTAAATGTAAACCTACAAATGTTTTTGTTTCTTCCCCTGCCGCACCAAAATATCTGGCATCCGATCACAGTTTATGGAAAACTTTCTGGTAAGAAAATGCACAGCGGGGAGGGGGGGGTGGCACATTCAAATGAACTCTGAAAGGAGAGGCCTCCCATCTTAATGAAAGTGGGGTTTGACATCAGAAAATAAGCGGTCCCACTTCTCACACCAAAACCTCAATGCAAACACAATAAATGCTACAATCACAAGGACAAAGTCAAATCAAAGTGCATTTGCCAAAAAATCGAAATGCCTCCCTCGCTCCAAAGGGCATGAGGCACCGGACAAGCCATGTGAGCCAATGGTGGAACTTCCACGTTGCTATGGCTACAGAAACTAAGCAGTTAAGAACGCAAGCCAATGCATAATATATATAGGTTTCGCTGCGAGGCGCACTGTATGAAGCC